ATTTTGCTATTAACCTATTTAAGGTTGACCTGAGATTTTTCAGGAGAGCGGGAGAGCGAATTGAGTCCTTTTGTGTAAATGTTGTGAACTATTTTAGAAATAAATGGCTCCGTATTTCTTAAAGCAGCTCCCACTTCGCATCAGACGTAAGTAAATTGTTGAAATTAATTATTGAATTCATTTTTATTTATTTTCTGCTGGTTTTTAAGTGCGTTGATTTACAGACAAAAAGTGTAACAACGGAGGGATGGTAGAAATAATATTATGATTAAATTATGAGGAACGGAAGAAGCAACCGACTAATCGTCCATTAATATTTATAATTCGATATTTTATAATTATTGCTGCTGTTGCTACTGTTGTTACGAACGTTAACTTTTTTTGATATGAAATATATATCTATTAATCACTTTCAAAGGGTGTTTAACAACATCACTTAATATTTACTTTTCGTTGAACATGTGTGTTTTTTAGCATCACACTATTTTCAAATATATGTATATTTATTTATGAACATACATTCACATTTATTAGAACATTTATTTTTTATTGTTGTTATTTCACTTATGGATATATACATATAAAGATGTATGAATATATTTAACTTTTTCGCACTTTCACATTATACTGATTGAGAATAGTTTATTGCAAGATATGCGCTTTTTACGGAATTTTTTAAATTTCTTACATTAACTTCGTTTGCATATTAAGCTGATATTAATACATTCATATATACCATAGATGAAAGTATCTAAAATAAATATCGTCATCACTTTTACCACCTAAATCTGTTTCGCAAAAATAGGAAACGGAAACAAGATATATGCACATTCTGCATATTTTATATTGTATATAATTTATAGGTATGCAATACATATGTACACAGGTATGTACATATGTATATATGTACATTAATGTAGTTCATTAACACTGTACAACTTAGAATCTTAGTATTACACTAATCAAAATGAGTAATCCTATTTAACGGCGATGCTATGTTTTCAATGTTTTTTATTACCTATTTAAAATACAAAAATTGCCAAATTGAACGATACTAAAAGTAAGGTTTTAAAAAAATTTAAAACGAAATTTTCACTTTAATATCTTTTTCACATTTTGGGAGGCTGAGCAGCTGTTTATTTAAACATACCATCTTCGTCATGCACTTAAAGACATCAACAAAAAAAATTACTGTTGTGTTGGGATACGACGAACTTTTACTCCATTTGGTTTTATAAAGCACCTTTATTACATAATCTGAAATATCTACATATATGTAATTGTATAAGTGTGAACACGTACATAAAATACCGCAATGAGCATGCAATATGTACGTGTATTAAAACTACAAGGACATTGAAAAGACTAAATGCTTAATAAAATGAAAAAAGTGCAAATAAAATAAGATATTTAATATTTATATATACATACATACTTGTATATACATATGCATATATTGCTTCGTCATCTAGTGCCGAAGGGTTTACATTGATATTCACGAAAATAGAATTATTCAATGAAAATCCCTAATATCGATTTTTATACATAAGTCATGCATACGCCCAATAATAGAGGCAACGTGTTGTAGAATGTAATAATTAGGAGAATAATTGAAGAAAATATTGATTTCGATTCAAGCTATAAATATATTTTTCAAAGTATTACTGCTTAAATTTATATTTCTGAAAATGAGAATTTACGACGCTAAAAATTATTTCACTTCATATTTTATATTAACCATTTGTTCAATTTACAAACACGTCAATATTATTTTATGCATACTTGCAGTTACCTATTAGGTTTACCACTTTATTTAATATTGCAAACATCACGTTAACTGGGGCAAATTTATTGCGGCAACTTCGAAACAACCATCCGCCCCAGCGGTAGCAACAGCAGTGCCATCGGCAACAGAAATGGCAGAAAGACAACAGATATGACACCATTTGTAGGACGAGAAAAAAACAGCAACAGCATAGTATGACGAAGTAATGAATCAGCAAAGGCCTAAATACTGCAAACTTGTAGCGATGGAGGAAAAAAAAATTGAGTAGTACTTTTTTCTAAATTCTTCCACTTGTTTTTATAAAAACGGTTAACTTTATGTGGTTCCACTTTAGCAACAAAAAAGTAAATAAACTATAAATGTCGGGAAGAGCAATATTTTTCAACTTTTTCAAAAGTAACCCACAATTAAATGTTATTTTAGTTCTGCACTCAAAGAAATTCGTCCTGTTAACTAATAAGAATAAAAGTTGAATAAACAGTTCCACTCTTGGCGATGTATTCGGTCTTCTGACATAAGTACTTCGTAAAAAAACAAACTTTAATTCACTCATATGGTATATGCAAACATATATTTATTACATATATTTTTTTCTGTACGTATTCAATAGAGGATATAGACATACATATATACATCTAAGGTTTTGCTAGTCTGGGTGGCATTTAATGCCATATCCTTGTGCTTTGCACGTCTTTTACTCGTGCTGGTATGGAACTGGTATTGCTTTTTCTTCGTTTAAGCTTGTGCCTTCCTTTTCACACTCCACCTATACTCATACCATTTTACCAGATACACAACCCCGGATAGAAAAATCGAAAGTCAATTTTTTTCTATAAATTCTTTAAATTGTATAATTTTACACTATTTTTCAGGCTATTTTTGATTGATACAAGACAAACTATTTATGAATATACATATACACTAAATTATTTAACAATTTTATTTTTTTATTTTTCATTCACAATGTTAAACACTAAAAAAACTGATGCTTAGTGTGAAGATATTGCCTTTTCATCAAAACGAACCGAATTTCAAGAAAATGTAATAAGTAAACCGTTTAAATTACATTTTAGCCAGTTTGAAAAAATCCTTATAGTATATTTTCTATGTATTGACTTAGGGAAGTGAACAGTTAGTAAGTGTTGCAAGCGTTGCCTTTTACCCGAAAATCCATTCGCCTCTGTGGTTCGTTTAAACTGTCGTCTTGTGCTTGAAATGAATACCTTGGAAGTCTATGCTTCGTTAAGTTTGTTGCAAAAACAATATATCTGTTTGTAAGTTCGTGTGATTATTTAACGAAAAGATATATTGGCGCCTGGGATATACATACATACATAAGTTGCATGTCGCACGCAATACTTCACACACCATGTGCCACGGTCTTTACGCTATACGACAAACGCCACACACATCATAAAGTCTGCCTTTGGCGGCCACTCAATGACCCCACCCGTTTGCCAGCACCAACCCGTTTACGGTCACAATACTCGGTCATTAGGACACCCGAGCGGGTACGAATTACTTCGTTTTATGCTCCTCCAACATTTATCGAACTGTCGGTAATTCTTCGTCAAATTTTGACAGATGATTGTAGAAACGTCAGGCAACGATCCGAGACATATAACTGACTCACTTTCAAAAGAAAAAGAAAACTCTGAGGATATTGAAAACTTACACGAAAACAACAAAAATCTCATTCCTGACAGCACAGAATGGATATTAATAGAAAAGATGGTAGAGGAAGAGTAGGGTGGAAAGTGAATCTTATTCAAATTCCCATTCATAAGCATAATAAGAGGCCTTAATACTATGCGATAGAACAAAAAAATATATACTATATATATATAGTGTACTACATATGTAAATAGTATTAACTTGGATCATTTCAATATAGAACAATAATATAAGACTAATTTATGTTGTCAAATTGACGTTTCCGTAAAAATATTATTTCCATTTAAAAGTTACTACTCTAACGGAACTAATGTTGTATGCGGTGTTGTAATAGGACATTGTGATGAATGACGTTTGTATACGTAAGCATTCCTTGCACAAGTCCTGCTGACAATGGTAAATGCATTTTATATTGATGTTATAGAAATCAATATAGACAAAGAAGAATAGGGTAATATTTACATATGGAAAATAAAGCAATTGTTCCCCTTTGGGTCGTTTCATTTGTCCTATAGTACGTTACTTTAGTGGACGTCATTATATCGCCGCTCCAATACTTCTTTCTCCTCACGCGACTTCAATCCACCTATATATATTATTTAAAAAGCGGTATTGTGCAATTTAACATTATATTTGTTGTTATATACATTTAACGTTGCGATGGTAACTGTTTGTGCGCACACAAAATAAACTCCCCAGCAACTGCTACTGTACTAGAGTAGTGGAATGCACCAACGACGTAGAATATAACTCCCGCTAACACACATTACAAATTGCGCCAGCGATTGAAATAAAATATGGATGCTTCGAGTGCATTCGTCCTCGATACTCCATAGTTAAAAAATAAATTTAATATACATGCACACATACATACAAAAGTATAAACTTATATAAAATTTAACACAAATTATGCTAGTGCCTACGGTAAGTGACTTCAGTGCGTTAAATATTGTAACGAGGTAGTAGTGACGAATTTACAGGTGTAATAGATGTTTGTCTGCATTTCTACGCTTTTGTAATATTTAGCGTCTATGGATATTATGTTGAAAATAGTTACTTGCTTACAAATACATGTGTATTTGAATATTTAAATATTTTGTACTTATGTATTATTTCAGTATATTTTGATGACATCATACATTGGACACAATACCGTAAATTCTTCCTTTATTATCTTTATTATTATTTCATTTGGAGTTATGATATACATATGCGAAACAACAAGAACATATACAATGAAAAAGATGAATTGTTAATGCGCATGTACATTCATTCAATACAAATTTTAGTAACATTGCTAGAGAAAAGTTAACATAGCCTTTTAAAATCTTAATGTACTTAATCATGGTCATGGAATGCAATCAGCTGATATTTTCACGATTCACTGTTTAATGAGAATCTTTTCCAGGCAAACTCTTCAAATTTCTATTTCAACAACAGCTGCGCACAATCTCGTGGAAATTGTCTTTTTGACAAAGACATAAAAATACACCGAATTTTCCTTTGCGGAGAAATTTTGGAGAAATAAAATCGAGCTTTTATATAAGTTGTCATTCTGCACACGGAAAATTCTTACCTTTAATACATACTTGTAGCTAGTTTTGTTTCATAAATTTTTAGTTTAAAAACTAATTTTCGTTAATATAAACTATACATACATACATATGTATATACAATAAATTTAATTTTGTTCTAAATATTCAATATTTCACTGCAAACGTAAGAGAACTAACTGTAATATGAAAATTAATTCGAAGTTATTTTTTGCCGTTTTCAGAATAAGCTTTTTAAATGAT